CTCCACCTTCCCAGATAATATTTTTTAATTTTCTTATCCCTAGGTGTGAAATTGCAAAGTAAAAATCTTCTTAGCATGAACACACTGCAGTCATTTTGTCTTGTCTGGAAATATGTGGACCCACCCTGCAACAGCTGCAGTGTGAAAAAAAGATTTTCCTCTTTCTTTGGCTCTCACTCATATCATTGAGCAGATAACCCTCCCCCACTCTCATATGCGTGACACGTTGCAGCGTTGTTAAATATCAAGACCATTCCTCATCCTAATGACCTAATGTGAATGGCATCAACAATTGCTTCCTTCTCCGTCTTCGGACTTTAATCTCACCAACCACCATCCACCCCACCTCCGCACTGATAGGTAATGGAGAATACAGGCATTGTGAATCACCATTTCACGACAGCACATGCCTCTAGATGGGAAATTATAGAGGCCATACATTGAGCCTGAATATCCATAATATTATATGTCATGCACAATGATTTTAGATGCTTGTTTTTTGAGGAATAAACGGCGTGAGTGTTCTCTCTCAGAAAAGAGATAGACCCAGTATTCTCATCGGTATTCAGCAGAACCGCAGTATCACAAACTTTGGCCAAATAATTGTGGTGATGTTGAAATATGCTGCTTGATCTCCTCCATTCAGTTGATCAAACAGGGGATCTGTCAAGACAGCTGTGGCTAACTCTTTGTTTCAGTGTGAGCTAAAAGCATGACAGCGCCTCTTCCTTCCATTTCCTTCTGGGTTAAGGAAGCCACTCAGCTACAAGCCCCTCTTTCATTTCTGTCTCTGTTTGTTTGTTTCCTTTATGAAGTCCTTTTTGATCCTGGGTTTCTGTTGAAGAGGAGGAACAGCAGAGGAGGTAGCCTCACTGCCATGATGCTAATGTGACTGTAAATATGAAGCCCTGTGAGGATTTACGACAACACCAATACACATCATGGATAGGCAGTGGGTTGGTCAGGACCATATGGCACAGTGTCTGTTGACTGCCAAGGGAAGCCTGTAAGTGACTGTATGAATTAGAGAGAATTGTGAATGGTGTTAAGTATCATAGCTGCTCAGCATGTGGTTAGTGCAGTCACTACTCACCTGCATTGCTGAGATGCTGGAAGGCTTAATTCTTTTATTATGTCATATTAATCACTCTCTTGAAGTGTGGACGCCGTGGATAATTATAGGCTGTCATCAGTCTTCTCTGAACAAGACCACCTCATCAAATCTCTATACAAATGTCTGCACTTCACTCACTAAATTTAGATGTCATTTTTGCTTCTACAAAATGATCCATTCTTTGCTATTGTTCCTTTTAGCTGTGAGTTTCATTAAATCCTAAAGAAATTCAGTAATAGAATGGCCTCAGTGCTTTAATTTCTATTCTTTAAATAAACTTTATTTGTTATGGCTGTCATTCAGCATGAAAAACCGCCCTCAGGCCTGAGTGGAGAAGGGATGGGGCTGCATCCTTAAACTAAACTTTTTAATTGGGACCTTTCTCATGAATCACATACAATTTAAATGTTCTTATATTTTACTTTGGCACTGAAAGTTGTTGGACAGTTGTTACACTTATGATTGACATCATGCAGAGGAAGATTATCTACTGGTAGGTTCAGTCCTTTGTTTGTTAATAATTTGAATGAAGACCTTGTATTCCTGGCACACTATGAAATGTACAGTATACCAAGGCTTTTGATATTGCAGCCTTCCTGGTAGTGTGGCTAAAAATCTGCCATTGTTAAACTTATTGACTAAAGGTGATCCTCCTCTGGGAATTTGCTTGGTAAATTTCATGCAATATGTCTGTTTGACTTTAAAATTTTCGTGTTCAAGTGGAACTTCTTGCCTCTTACTGGGAGCAGAGGAAAGGTCAGGAGGTCACTAAAAACATAAGCAATGCATATAAATAGTTTAATAGGTTTAACAAGCCTTCGTATATACTGTGAAGTGGACTAGTGTTGAGTACCTGCTATCAGCTTAGGGGTGGCACAATATACCGATACTTAAGATAATCGTGATATTTAAATATAAAATATTGATATTGTGTTAATAGTACACATATTGTATAAATAGTTCCGCGCCTTTTAAATAATTTCCATTTCTTTCCGTTCCGGCTTTGTGGTTCAAAATCCCACAAAGTGGGTTGCGCCTATGTTAATGCACCTGTATGTTGGTTGCCAGCGCTACAACTGAGTGTAATTAATTTTCCAGAATGAGACAAAAACACACTAAAGGTTGAAGATGATTTGACTGTTATATATATTGTTATAATATATATATTCTATAGCTACCGAGATCATTTGTTATTATGAATTATTTTGGCCCTGATAGTTCTGTAGTGAAAATCTGAAATTGTGAGAGCCCGATATCAGTTGATATTGACAAACTTTATTTTACATTCTATCTTTGTTTCTGATTTAACACAACTTGGTTCAGAAAAGTATGATTGTAATACACTTTTTATCAATACTCAGTTTACCTTATCACACTCAGTTGATCACATATTGCAATAATTTTCTGAAAATATCTCCTCATTGACCTTGAATTGGTACGTGAGACGCATTAACTGATTCATTGTTAAGTAGTATTTGAGGACTTTATCTGCAGATGAGGGTCTGCGCTCCTCTGACCCTGCTACCTCGCTCATTAAGTGATGCTACACAATATCAGGTGCAGAGGGGAAGTAAAGGAGAGTATGACAAACGATTATTGAAACACACCTTACGATTCATTATTGGAATATGAATAGCTATAGACTGTTGTACATCACAAAGTACCCTGATGGTGTTTGACTGTAGTAATTTGAATATTCAAATGTTTGAGCAACAGCAGAATCAGTCGAGACAAAAATGACACACATTTACATGTCCAGCTGATTAAAGCACGTCAGTCTCACTGCAGTCAGACTGTAGGCCTTGTTCATTGCAGATACTACAGGACTACAGCAGCGCATTTCACATAATTTCATCATCAAAGCGATTTCCCTCTGAGAAACCCTAAGTGAATGAGTGCTGAGCGAATGATGCCGGACACACTTCATATCACCAGCAGTCACATTTCAGTACAAAAACTGCTGGTCTGCGCAATAAAAATGAGCTTATGTACCACAGATAAATGACAGAAACTGTATTTATCAATTCAGTGCCTATTTGCTCATCAAGTTAACTAGTCATTGTCAGAGAAAAGGCCACACTCAATAATGCATGCCTCATTTAAAAGACCATTGCCCTTTTGGTACCTGCTCTCGTCTCAGTAGCACAGATTAGAGCAGGGTGGTGCATCTTAACGCGTCTGGAGCTGATATTTTACCAATCGTCGGTTCCCATTTCCCAGTTTGAAAGGAGTGTTGGTCATTATCATGACCTGAGGGAGATAACTTGACCTGTGGAGTATGCAGGGTTTACTGGGTTCATTGGTGAGGGGTTTACTGTCACTTTGAGGAGTCATCAAACTGCATGGTGGTGACTTGAAGTGAAACATAAATTATTCAAGGACAGTTAATTCACCTTGAGATTGGTCTCCATGGAGCTTGAAGATAGAGCCAGAGAATGAAGTGTGCCTGCCCTCTCAGAGTCTTCATTTTACATTTTGCCTCATTAAATGTTGAGATTGTGATAGTTCTCTTGCACACACTAGTGGATATGCAACATTTGCAGTCGGATGCTTTTGGTCAGTGGATTTATATTGAGCTATTGATCAAAGTTGACACATCAGGGGCTACAGTTGCTTTTAAAGAGCATTGCTGTGTGTATTGTGGGTCTGGGAAATCTGATAGAGGCCAGTAAAGGTTAATGGAAGCACCCTGTACCATATCTCTTTAAATCACTATAAATAATTCCTGCACATGCAGATAAGAAAGAGGAAACCACACTTGATCTCTTAATAGGTCCCCTGACATCCCTGAGTACCATTGCAGGTTTATGCTTTAGATCATCTTTGTAAATAATGCAAACTTCTGCTGCTGTAGTCGACTGACTCCCATTTAGCAGTATGGAGTCCAGTATCACTGCCAGTCAGATCAACTGTCACAGCTTGATGAGGATCTGCAGCAAGTCTGACCTTCTAATGATTGTCCTCCAGCTAAGGCCCCAGCAGGGCTCTCGTGTAATTTCCTCCTTTATCCGGAAAGATGACAGGAGTGTCCGCAGCTGGAGTGCTACTGTTTGATTGGAAAGTAGATGTGCTCTCTTGCTCTGAGTTGGGTGGAATGGGCTGTGACTTCTTCTCACAGCTTCATTGGATGCTGAGAGTTGGTGAGATTGGATATAAAAAAAAGCTCATTTTGTACTGCTTCAAAACATACTACCAAATAACGTTTAGGAGCAATTCTGGAGCAATGTCTCTATTTTTGTTTGCGGCATTGGATTGGCAAGCTACTGAAGGGGTGATGCATAGAAACACAGACACGGAGGGAACCTCTTGTGTCCTAGGATATGTCTTGATCATCTGCTGGAGCGGGAATCAGCTGTAAACAACTGCAGACCTGCAGAGCTTTAAAGTCTCAATGCGGTGCTGGCAAACAGAGATCAGAGGAGTTTTGTGTCTCAGCAGTTTTATTCCACATTGTACTAAAAAACTCAAGAGTCAGTATTTATAACTTGCTTTTGATTCAGTTACAGTGGTGAAGCAAAATAATGTGCTCATTAGTGCTGTCAAACTTTCAGTCTAATGTCACTTTGCCATTCTGTAATTTAATATTGGGATAAAGCTGTAATTTTATGTAAAAATATGGCTGTATTATACAACCGGAAATGAAAAATGTGACTGCAGAAAAGCCTTATGAATCTTTCTATTTAAGATTATTATTTAAGTTTCTGTGTGTGCTTTCTGGTGGGAATAGCATACAGGAGAGGAGGTGTACCTCCTTCAAAAGATAACTGGACTCATCAATATTGTTTAAAGCTGCTGCTGAAATAACTAACTAACAATTTTCTATCTCCAGTGTGTGGAGTTTGACTCCATTTCACTAAGAGTGACTCATATCTATTTGTTTTCACAGTGGCATACCTGGGAAGAAATGTGGAACCATTGTCTTGTCTGCTGAGGAGCTGGGAAACTGCAGAGTAAGTCTAAAAGGATTTAACCAGTATATCTTTTACTTTGTTTCATAATAAATGTTTTGCAATGTTCACTGATCTGATTTGAAAAGGGCTGTTTAACAACGGTACATTAGAGTTTATTTTACATACTCAGTGTAACTGATAGATTATGGCATGTCACTGTGAAATTGTATGTGACACAGTGTGGGGAAATGGTGCATGTTGTTTAAGTCACATAATGCACGTTTAGCAATGTTCACAAGCCTGCTGAAGTGAAGTGGGATGTTTAATAGCCTTCAGTAAGATATATTATGTCATAACTGTTCCCTATTAAACCAGCAGAATACGCCATGTCACTATGAAACTGTTTGTCATTTGGAAATTGTGTACATAGTGAATATACTATGAGTTTGAATGGATATTTAATGAGCCCGCCTTCAGTCCAATCACTGAAACAGGCGTTTCTATCGATGTGTGGTGTGTTAATCCACGATTTTGTCCACTAATGCCCATTGGCTTTCTCTCTGCACTGCTAAATGAAGATAGTAAATAATCACATTATACTGCTGCCAGTGGAGCAGAAGAAAGTAGAGACTTATTGGCCAGAACAACTGGCCTCCCTCGGAGGCTATAAAGCAAGCCATTGAGCAACTGTTATATAAATGTTTTATGATATCTTAATGCATGTAAGCATCTAACGTTTCAAAACTTTTTAACTTCCAGTCATACATGTTGAGTAAAAAAACACCTGTTTTAACAGTAGTTGTACCTGGCTTTGAGGTTGTTGGTTTACATTTTCCTAATAGTGTAATTAATTTCCTGACAAATAAACAGTCTCTGGTGAGAGTGAGACAGATAAGCCATACTGATAATAAAAGTGCTATGATAAGCATTACTGATTTGGTCCTTGCTGGATTGAAGTGTCAGTGCTCACAGTCATTGAAGGGCTGCTGTGAGTCATCAGGTGCATTGGATCTGCAATGATAGGAGATAGCATAATCACTGCAAAGCACCACTTCAAGAAGCGATTTTGTAATATAAATGCAAATGATCATCCCTGGTACAAATGACCATTTCCTTTCTCCCAGACTTAATTAGAGAGACACAGACTTGACATGTCACACCAGACCTGCCCTGTTTACACAAAGTGTGACTCTGAGTGGAAATGCCTCAAGTCAAAAAAACAGGAAACAGAGAAAAGGCGCATTATAGTTGAATAGTCTGAAGACCCTGCTGTCTGTTCTGTCCCACACCTATGAATTATAGCAGTTTGGAATTGCTACCATCCATCTGGATGGTGTTTATTCTATAATCCACCTGTGACCAATAAATGGAGGCAGCAGAGTTGTTGCTTCGCCTGAGGTAAACACTGCATCTCTTGTTTGGGGAAACTGAAACCAGCAGAGTGGGAATTGACTGGGGAAGTTCTGCATGGACTGTTAACCAAGAGGCAGGTTGGCTCTCACCTTCGTGGAAGATTTGCCAGGTATCATTAAGCAGAGCAACAGCCTCTGCATGGATCAAAGGCTTCCTCTTGGCTGTCATTATCTCTGGCATGTATGACATGCTGAGCGACGGCTCGCTCTCCCTTAGATCCTTCTCACAGTCCAGCCGCAGCTCTGGCTGATTTAAATTGAAGTAAACTTTACAAACACTTTACATGTGACAGCAGTAAACCACAGAGAGGTTTTTTTATTCGCTCAGATCATAGCCCCCCATTCCTATACTGACCAATAATCCCAATTACCATTGACTTTTAGGATTGTATGACGGATTTCCCTCAAGAAAGTATTCTTCAGTTCATCACTGTAGTCGTAAAATGGAATTGAGCTTTGTTACTATCTTTATTATTTTCTTTTTTGTGAGTAGGCTACATATAAAACTGTTCTTCACGTTGACAAAAATCCTTCACCTGAGGCTTATAGTCATAATAGACAAACACTTGAATCAGGTGATGCATGAACCATACAAAGGAACTAAGTAAATGTCTGATTCATACCATCCTCTGGCTCATGATTCATTTGGTGATTCACTATAGTCAGCAATCCTCAGGACGTCATAAGCTGGTGTAACATGAATTCAGGTATTGTCTACACTGCTTTGTATTCCTTTGAAAGACCAGTCCCACTTCCAAAAGTGACAGTGTGCATTGCTCCGCCACTTACCCCATGCAGCGATATCTTGGTAGTGCAGAGAAATGGGAAGAAGGATGCAGACTGCACTCAGTATTCCCCTGCTGCTCTTAAAGCTCAGCGGTTGAAATGAATGTTCTGCCTTTTTCCCCCATGTAATGAGAGAACACTGCTAGGCACCAAAGTGGGTATGTGTTATCTGTGCCTAATGAAAGCTTAAGTCACTGTGTTGCCATGATAGTGTAATTGTAGAGGCCATGTCAGGACGAAGCAGGACAGTTACGAGATGCCTCTATTTTTAAGGGCTTGGATAAACTGACCTAAGCAAACTCCTCTAAGATAATGTGTTTAGTTTTTTTTTGAATCCACAAAACGAGCCACAATGGGAACTTGGAAAATTAGATGGTCTTGTGAAAAGCCATCAAGGGAGAGCTTGACACACTTCAGGTACAAACTGCACAGAGGATGGCTCTATAACTTGGCTGTTCCGCATCCAACTACACAAATTGGAAAAAGGCAATCTTCCACTAACATGCTCTCTATCTGTATTGTAGAAGTGGTAGAAACACAGATAATAACTGAAAATGACAGTAGGGAATGAAAATTGAGTAGATATACAACACCCCTGCTTCATTTAGCCAGCACTGACTGTTTTAATCAGCTCTTTACTTTGCTTCTGTCTCAACATTTCCACAGTGTTGATGGGTAAAATACACTTTGATAGGAAACAACAACGATAATCAAATTAGCTCAATGTTCACGAGAATACTCTGAGGTTTTTTTACTATATATTTATTTAGTGGCATCCATCTTTCTCTCAGTGGTTGCCTCAGAGATAGCGGCTGCTCTGTATCTCGGATGTGTCCGAGGGATAAAGTGATGTGATGGGGGTTAGTGAGAGGCTGGTCAGAGGCAGAGGGCACCACACTGATGTGGGTCAAAGCAGTCGATAGAGGGCCTGCCCAGCACCATGCTGATTCAGATCTAATAGCTGCACTTCAAAACCTAAAAGCCCGGGAGAGCAGCAGGGTGAAAACAGCGCTTCTTTTTGCTAGTTGAAGGCACTGAATGTCTTCTTGTACCAGATCTCACTCTTCAACATATGATGATTAGACACTTACGTATGCTGTATGTTGCAAGACTCAAGGATTTAAAGAAAGAACACAGAGATTAAGGCCGTCAGCTAACACTTTTCAAAGTTTGTTCTGATGTGGACATTCACCTGTCCAGTATGTGCCCAATGTGCAGCCTCATTATCATTATAAAAATGCAGACTAATACCTTGACCACAGGGAGAATATCTGGAACCAAGAGCATTATGGGGCATTTCATTGTCCTTGTAATGGCAGCACACATTGAAATGCTGACTAAATGAGTATAATTATGGTAATACCAGCCTTTCTAATGTATCATTAGCTGCACTCACACCCTCCACATCCTTTTGTACACAGCCCTCCCTCCTTCATGTGCAGGGTTTTAGAATCCATTTCTGTGCCTCTGTATGGTCTCTCATACTGTTACTATGATTACATTCGGCACAACAAGGTATTTTCAATTTGATATCCCTTATCCCATCCACTGTTGTCATGCAGGAGTTGCATAATAAAGAAATGGTAATGAATGCATTTGCAGGTTTTGAAAACTAGAGCCCACTGGCTGCTTTTGCTCTGCTCTTATTAGGATTCAGTCAGCACTTTGCTTTTATTTGGTGCTTCAGTGCTTTTATATCTTGGCACACAGCATGTATAAACAAATAACAAGAGGCAAAAAGGGGCAGGAGCATGGATTTACAATGTCCTTTACTTTTTTGTCTTTTCATTTATCTGACTGTGTTTTCCTCTGTCTGTAGGATTACGCCACCATGCAATTCTGTGCCAACAAACTGGATAAAAAGGACTTCTTTGGAAAGTCTGACCCATTCATGGTCTTCTACAGAAGCAATGAGGATGGCACGTGAGTCTTGCCTCTGCTTCTCGTGGGTTTTTCATTTCAGCTTATCAAAGACAGGTAGGAGGGTGGGGACATCAAAGAGGAAGGGAACCAAGGTCGAGAGAATTAGATCGAGATCTCTTGAACTCAGCGGTATAAAGATAAATTCATGCAGACATGCTCTCGAAGCAAAGTGTAGTGGGAAGATTTTATCATTTTTTTCCTTAGAGATGTGTCTTTTAGGATTTTAAACCCCTGTCGACCTGCATGTACAGGTTCACCATCTGCCACAAGACTGAAGTGGTGAAGAACACGCTGAACCCTGTGTGGCAGCCCTTCTCCATCCCTGTCAGAGCACTCTGCAATGGAGACTATGACAGGTAGGATGAATAATGATGTACAATAAAGTATTCTGCACACACACACACACACACACACACACACACACACACACTCAGATGTAGTGTGATTTTCCAGGGGAAATGAAAGCCACGCAGAGTTTCAATATGCTGTGTACTTATTTCGAAATGGGCTGGGTGCGTCAAATTTAGACACCATTGATTTCTTACCGTTATTTTATCTGCTGCTGAAATAGAGAATTATTACTGGCTCTGACTACACGCTACCATGCCTGGCTGTTCATGGATTGCATTTCAGAACACTTTAAGTTTCTGATTCATGTGGCATCTCCCATCTTACCTGAATATCTTCAGTGCAAAGGGTGACTCATGGACACCTGAAGAGCAGGAAGAGTTTTGGCAGGAGAATAAAAAAATAAGAGCAGACAGAAAGAAAGAGGAGATGAGAGAATGGCTGTACTCATTCTATAGATGTTGACAGGTGGCTGGAACAACAGAGGAGCCCTGTTTTATGTGTGTGTGTGTGTGTGTGTGTGTGTGTGTGTGTGTGTGTGTGTGTGTGTGTGTTTGTGTGTGTGTGTGTGTGTGTGTGTGTGTGTGTGTGTGTGTGTGTGTGTGTGTGTGCATAAGCATGAAAGTGTGTAGACCCAGACAGCCCTGAGAGTGTGTAGAAGTCGTCAAAGAACATGTCAAACTTCGCCCTCTACACCACGCTGGGTGTCAACGGAGGTTCTTCACTTCGATCCCGCCTCTGCTCACCTGCCTAGAAAAGCTAATTGGGTCAGACAGATGGAGTGGAAGCATGAAAGACGCCTGATTCCCTTTGAGGATTTTGATGGCAAGAGAAATCTGCTGCAATTTAGGGTCTCCCCAATGTTTTGTGTGAAGTAGCTACAGTTTGCTGTGCTGTGTAGATCTACACAGCAGTGTACTATAGCGTACTGTACTATTCATCACTTCTCAGCAGACTCAATTTTAAATTATGTTTACAATATAATGGCTTTGTGATAATTGCAGTAGTTGGCCTGGTTTTGACCCACAGCGCGTGCAGGCTTTGTATTTCTTTGACTCAGACGTTTATCAAATGCGCAGACTTTTCTACTCTATAGATAATGCTGCTTTCACAGATTGAGCAACTATGCTTTTCCTTTGTGTTCTTTTTAATGTTTCATGTCAATTTAATTTATATAGACCACAGATTTGCCTCAAAGGGCTTCACAATCTGTACAGCATCCAACATCCTCTGTCCTATAGACCCTGGTTTTGGATAAAGGAAAGCTCAGGAAGAGCAGCAGAGGAGGCATCCCTCTTCCAGGTTGGAACTGACATGCAGTAGATTTTATGTGCACAGAGTAGACAGAAGTAACAATATTTGCTAGATAGATTGTAAACATATATAAACACATACACCCAGAGGTAAAACCCAGGAATACCATTCACACAGAGACTTGAATCGTGTTTACTTCCTCTCCTCAGTCACATCTTTCAGCCTCATGTGAATCTGTCAAATCTTGTAATCATCTGGCTTCAATAGCTATCAGATAGTGAAATCTCTCCCAGTTCCCTTTCAAACATGCAGTGGGTACAGGAACGGAAATAAAATTTCATCTGGACTAAATCTCTATATCTGGATTTGTCCTGGTTGTCATTGTAAACAATTCTCAATTGATTCACCTGCTTAAGTAAAGGTAAAATAATAAAACAAATAGTGTCGTAGTGCTGGGAGAAGACTGATGCTGACTGACAGATCACTAGGTAATCATCTGTCACGATGGCAAAACACATTTTGCTTTTTTGTGTCTGTTAGTCAAGAGAGCCAGGAAGATTTGATTGATCTCTCACTCGGACTCTGAAATGTGGCTGTGTTAGATGTTGTTTTGGTACTCAGAGGGAGAAAAGCACAGATTTGGTTGTGATGGTTTGAGCACACAATTCTTTCCCTATCTCTCTCTCTGCACTACATGGATTGCAGACGTTTGTTCGGAGGAGAAATACGTTAGATGCAGACAGAATGAGTTCAGGTCAGGATAACAGGGCAGCGCTCCATCACCTTGCCTCCTTCTGGACCCGCTGACACATGATTGACAGCAGTTGATGGTTGGGGGGGGGAGGGGGCGCTGATCTTTCCATCAGATCAAGGAGAGAGAGAGAGAGAGAGAGAGAGAGAGGAAGCACTCATTCTCATTCTCAGTGAATTCTCTCAGGCTTATTTATTTGGTTTCTCGCCTTCCAACTTATTTCGGGAACTTGCAAAATATGCTCCCTCCCAAGAGGTTAGATTTCTATCTTCGGCCTGTGCAGGGAAATGCTTTACCCAAACTTTTGGCAACTCCTATCAACCTCTTTTCTCTTCTGTGACAAACACAAACTTGCTAGTAAACAATTCATTAAAATCATTGATGGCAGTTTACCAACCCGCTCTAAAGTGACTTGTTTCGCTTTTTTTGGATGCAAGAATGACAGCCTCAGTGTTTAGCACAGTCTTTGCTTCAAACACGTATCTAATTCTCTCATTTGATCCACAGAAGGATGTATCTTTGCGTGCAAAACACAGAGCAGGCTTTCTTTGATTGATTTTATTCAGCCTTCACTCACAATTAATGAGCTTTAATAACTTGTTTTTTTCTTCTATGTCATTTTAGAAATGCTCTGTGAAGTTTCCCCCCAAGGACATTTAGGTAGTGGCTTTCGTGTTACAATAATCTGCTCACACAAACAGTTCTTCCTGTCTTTTGATGTGTTTTACAGGACAATCAAAGTGGAGGTGTATGACTGGGACAGAGATGGGAGGTAATAGACACACAGACAGTACTGTAGTCACAGTGCATTCATAATTTATGTCATTTATCAAAAGTTCCCCATGTCTGGCCAACCGTCTATGTCCCTTTAAATTCCTTCATACATTACATTTTCATCACATTCTCAATTTTTTCTCCTTAACTGCTAATATTTTTTTCATTAACAATTGATTATTAGATTCCATCTGTGCCTCAGTGTCTGTGCTGTAACTTTATCTTCTACCTCTCAGGGCTGTTTCTACCATATCTGAATGAACTGTATCTGATACAGTTTTTGTCTCTTTTCTCCAGCCACGATTTTATTGGTGAATTCACCACCAGCTACAAAGAGCTATGTCGAGGTCAGAGCCAGCTAAATGTCTACGAGGTGAGTAGAGATAAAGACAGTCGATACTGTTATCACCCCCTCTGTTTTTCTTCTGAGAACCTTTATTTAAAACGACAGAGACTGTTGTTTTAAATAAAGGTTTATTTTGACAAGTAGCTCTGTTTAAAACCTTTTAAGATCACAACACTGTCTCAAAAATTGTAGTTATGTTAATTATTTTATACATTACTTTTTCCTGCTATTCCTCATTGATCTCTTTAAACTACTAGAGTATAATCCAGGCCACAATGTAGATCTTTGTGTGTCCACACCCATTAGTAAATACTTTAAGTCAAGTGAATCACATAGACCATACTGTGGCTGGACAGAGCTGTGAGAAACCTTTTTAATGACAAGGTTATTCTGGTAGGGCACAAAAACAAACCTTCATTTCTGGGTACCAGCGTGAGAAAACAACTTCGATTTAAGAGCAATTTTAAGAGCCCTTTGGCTCAACAAGGTCTTGTTATCCAAAGTTTAATGACTTAGGAGGCTGTGGTTGTTTGAGCCAGAGTTGTGGCTATTTGAACAGCTCGCCTCGTCTGTCTTTCCTCACCCTACACAGCATAAAGCATCTTAGAGGTTAAGTGTTGCAGCAGAGCTGTTGAGGAAGGGTGTTTCTGTGGTGAGAATACAAATGGGAACACAACAGAACTATGCAGCTGATTAAAGTTTTTTTGGATGGTTCTTGGAGGGTCAGAATGGGCATTACTGTTAGGCACTGGGTGCTCCTATCAGTCCCTGCTCATTAAAACACTTGCCATGTTACATTAGCCTCTGAATTAGTCATGGAGGTGGCTTAAGGAAAGAGCAGGGCCAATAAAGAGAGTGAGAGGGAAAGGATGGTGAGTAGATTGGGATAGGTAAGGAGAGAATTAGTGAGTGGCAAGCAGACTTGCCCTTTCACACTGCTGACATGGCAGAAGGAGGTGCATCCATTACCCTTCCCCAAACCTTTCTGTATTTTAATCAGAAACTGAAACACAGCAGTTTCTTCATGCACTCTTTGCCAGGTCAGTACCCTTGAGTCAGTTTCAAGATGTGGTCAAAAACGACACGAAGCCACCTTTTCACTGTTGACAAATAAAACATTTGATAAGGTCACTGGCCTGCAGTGTTCAACTCTTTGCAGATTCCTGTGTGCTCAACCTGACGTGCACAGGGCCTGCAAACATTCGCTCTGTGAGTTGAGATGACAGCAGCCTAATGCTAATAGAGGTTGGTGTAATTGAGGGTGATGTCTGTGTGACGTAATGTGAACCTGGAAGTGACTGAGCGATGGTTGCGCTGCTATGAGGCATAATCTGTGTTGGAGGAGTTTGAGGAGTAGCATCAGGAAGCACAGAGGCAGAACGGAGGAGAGGAGGAGAAAGGAAGAGAGCGAGATACCTTTTACTTTATTATACAGTGCTGTTTGCTCCAGGCTTGTGCTTTGTGTTTGTGTGCAGACCCATAGAATAAGCAGTAGATATATGACCTTAATGGCTCACTGTTGCACATGTTTTTGGCTGTAAGCTCTAAAAGTAACATTGATTTAAAGCAGGGGGTACTGTAGTCGCTCATAATCAGCCAGATATTTGTGTATTTTTGTGCATTTTACACATTATTCTTCACCGGTGAATTTACACACAATGTAATGATATGTGATAGCTGGGACAGAGATATGCGTTCCACCGTCCCCAAGCTTGGCAATGCACATATAAGATGCACAGCACAGTCTAGGTACTTATAGAAATCCCCCTGGATAATCTGTATCTTGCTGCGAGGCATGATCAATGCTATCTCATTCTCACCTACTGTGGTTATTGGATTCAGTCCCTCTGCTCCATTACCCTCACGGACATGGAGTAGGAGGACAAAGATGTTTTTATTACTTGCCTAAGGGTGGATAAAAAGAATAGTGCTGCAAGTTTACATTATCATTATCCTTCTTTTCTATTCTGCCTTCATACCAGGTGGTGAATGCCAAGAAGAAAATAAAGAAAAAGAGATACATCAACTCTGGGACGGTGAGTCTGAGTTCTCAGATAAGAGCAACCCTCCCCAGTGCATGCACGTCCCTGCCTTCCTTTGCTTTTGTATTCATCAGGAAGTTTCCTCTAAGTGGATTGCATGAGGCGGTTCAGCTCTGTTAAATGTTTTTGTTCCATTCCCAGTCTCAGGGCTTATGATCCAGAGAGTGAATTTAAGTAGATGGGAAAATATTTGCGTGACCTCAAACAGAGTGAATAACCAAGTCCATAGTAATGCATAAAAGGACTCTTGTCTGAGTCCTGTCAGTGAAGAGTCAGGATGGATGTTATAAATGAGCCACAGCTATGAAACTGCCTCAGTTCTTTGCCCGCTCTTACTTTGGCTTGACTCTGTAATTAAAATCTGTGGCCAGTTATCCATCACACTGATCATCCGCCGGTGCGCGGCCACACCGATGTTCTCTCAGTGATTGTACTCCTAATAGACTGCCCAGGTGTCAAAATCATTCTGCGTGGATAAGTGATTTGGTGGGTGGTTAGCTCGGAGGTCAGTGTTAATGTGTAGATTGGTAGATTTTGCTTTCCTTAATTACCAAGCATGACATAATTTGTTTGGACCTTTTTTCTCAGGTGTCTTTGTTGTCGTTCAATGTGGAGTCGGAGCACACCTTCCTTGATTACATCAAAGGGGGGTGAGTTTGATGTTTGTCTGACAGTTGTGTTGTTTATATAAATACACACTATATTTACATATTACAATGTGCCAGGCTCCTTAGGGCATAAGCACAGAAAGTCTGACAACATATAATTTAAGTTCCCCTCCTCAAAAATGGGTTTTGTTATTCAACTTGGATGTTTGAGCTTCACTGTGCAGAATGATGAGTTTGATAGCTGTTTACACATTCAGCTGCTGGAGAGAGAATCTTTCCCTCCGCACACCTTAATCTTAGTTTAAGGCATGTATGTACAGGCAGGATTTGCAACATCAGAACTGTTTTGAAATTTGAATTCATCATGTGAATTATAGAAGTGAGATGGGGAAACTTCAGTGCCTCCAGTGCACATACACTGAGAATGTTGGAGACATCTTGTGTCCAACAGTTAAACTATTGAAAATAATTGTTTTTGCTTATTCTTACATTTGGATTTTTCAATGAATGACAAGAAGTATATTTTAAGAATACTTAAAATCTTTGAAATCTTTGTTGGAAAACCACATCAGACACAAATTATTATTCCAAACAGGGTATTTTTTAATTTCTATAACATGTCTGGATGAGATCCTTAATGACTTTTATCTTTTTTAACATTTATTTTTTCAGCTTTGTAAATACACAGCTGTGACATTCTGTGTGAATAGTTGGTCACAAACTGAACAACCGCAGGCTTACTGTAAAGGATAAATTTAGCTACTGGTTATGTTCATGTCCATTATGTGCTTGTGCGTATGTAGTCCATTAAAAATACAAAAAATTCTGCATCATTCAAACTGCAGAGATAAAGAACTGACCACATTTTCCAGTATGCACAGCATGTAAGTTTCTCCAGGGCGATCCTGTATGCCACTTTCACATCATATCAGAGTTATCTTTGAGTCTCAGACTAAAGTCAAAGTTAAATGTCACATATAAACCATAATCATGACTGGGAAATCTAGATTTTTATGAAAACTGATATATTCCATGTGGTACTTCATAATACAGAGATACCTGAAAACCAAACAAATATGGATGCCTCACGTCATTCAAAGACTGTCCTTCAATATAACCACAAATTTAATGGATATGGTGCTATATTGTCATGCACAGTATTCAAATTCTCACACAACAAATTTTGTAATCATACAACCATCTTGATCATGTGAAAATGTGCAAGTTGTAAACATGGGAATCTTTCCCATCTCTACCATCCATCCCATATATCCCTACTTGCCTAACAACTATCAGGAACAGGCACATGCTGTTACAACAGCAACGTGATTGAAGAGGGGAAGACATTAACTGTTTGCTACCTATTACCAGCTGCTATATGCAATAGCGATACTTCCTGTAATAACAATAACGATAGCCCCTGTTGTCACATACACCAGCACTCCATCTGCAATTTCTTCTGCAACAGAATTCAGTAAAAACAGTCCACTGGAAAAACTGACTTATTTTTGTGACTGGCTGCTAGTGTTTATTGTCAAAGATTGTGGTGCTGCTGCAACCTAAGTGGCAGCCTCCTGAGCCTTCGCCTCGGTTTGCTGTATTTTATTGACAGTGGGGTTTTGGTTCATGCTGGCATGTTTTGATTTAGATGGGTTGTGCTGTGATGTGGGGGTGTGACATTGGCCTAGTGGTATAAGATGTTGTCCGCCGTTTAATTCGGTTAGAGATCTTTATTGTGAGTCATCCCAATGTCTTGTCTGTCTCTCAAGTGTCTGCTACCGTATCACAAATAAGAAAAAGAAAAATCCCCAAAAATATAAAAATGTAGTTTGATCTATTGTGTTTTGTCCATCATGTTGCTGTTGATTTTAGGAAAGCCTTGATAGACAAAAATAAGTAAATACCAAAATACTAATATTACTAAATAATAAGAGCAAGAGTAAAAAGACAACATCACATAAAGGCAAGTCTATAAAAAAGTGTTTTTTTTCCCCCACTGATTCTGCAAACCTTATATCCTCAGGCAGGTTGTTCCAAAACTGAGGACAAAACCACAGACACTTTTAGGTTTAAGCTTTGTCTGTGAACTTGACCACTCTAGGATGTAAGGCTCATAAGGGGTCAGCATCTCTGCTATGTAGCTTGGGGCTAAACCCAGGTGTGCTTTAAAAGTGATCAGTAAAACCTTAAAATCAATTCTAAAATGAACAGGGAGCCAATGGAGAGAAGCCAGGATTGTTGTCATGTGTTATTGTCTGTTAGAACCAATAAGAAGCGTAGGCAGTGAGAGGAAAAACACAATTTACTGAACTCTCTCTGTAGTTTCACCTTACATAGATACAGTATTAGATTATCAGTCAATAGTGGGAGTTAAGTTGCTACAGCAATACAGAAAACAAAGTGTTGTGGGTATTGTAAACATGTCAGCGCTGTGACTAATACATGAAAGTAAGGAAGACAATCAGTGCTGTGAGATTTCACGCAGTAGATTTAAATGCATTACTCCGGCTCCACTGCTCTCCATTGCAATACAAAGACCCGTCCACATTTCCTCTACTGTTGTTGACTGCGGTTCCTGAGTTGCCTGGAATTTTCCATGTGAGTATAAAAGTGTGGCCCCAAAGGAGACGACCTTGTCCACATTCACAACTGTGCGTGTGAATGAATATGAATGACTATGATAAAATATGGAGGCAATCTGAGAGCTTAATTAAGGGCCCACAACCTGTCACATATGGAAATGTTTCTCAGTGGATCAGTGGCTGCCCTGGTTTTAGTTTTCTGCTGCTTTGCCACTGATGGCTGAGTGTCCCAGATCTGTCCTGTTGGTCTCTCTCCAGCTCACACAAGTGGACACATGCACTGTATCCACACACACACACAGACTCAAAGGAACAGTGTTTTCACCCTTACCGTTATTATCTGTTTGCCTCTGATTTAATTTGTCCTTGAGTCACTGTATTGTGGAGGGCGAAGGACAATAAACAAACAATAAGTACTAATACACTGTCGGTTCAAAAAAGAATGTAGTGCATTTAGATACATATTTCAGTGGTTTCTTGTTTTTTGTTGAATCATTTTAAGATAATTTACGGTAATTTAATATTCACAAAAACCCAGATAAACACTTACTAACCTAAATATGAGCACTCGGATTTGCTGATGCTGGGGCACGTACTCTCTTAGTTGGGTGCCGACATATTTCTGCATGACATTTGGTAGGAAGGAAGCTCAAAGACAGGAGTGAGAGATAACACACTGTTCATAAATGTGTGGGATATTAGAGATTCAGTGGAATAATAAATGTCTGTAATCAGTCTGTCCAAAATGAGACCCTAATATAAGATAAACAAGAAGTCCAAATTGTCTGAAACTGTTTTAAGACCACATTGTACCACTTTATCAGATTTTGCTTTCATATACCAAATAATTGTTCGCAACAGATAAATATCTACAGAAACTCAGAATTCATGAAGAGAAAAAGAAATATTACAACATAAACAGTGCTTTTCCACAAAAGGCAAAATCTTATTTCCCAAATATAGGGACGAAGACACCACCACCAAGCTGTTGATCAAAGATGTCACCATAAAAAACCCCGCCCAAATTTATGGCAGATCAGGACTCGAGATTACATTAATTTGAATTGTTCCTTTCCTTTTGCTTTAAACTGTGCCAGACTTAACAATTGTCTAAGTATATTTAAAATTTTTGTTTCAGTAACTTGCATCATTTCATCGACTCACTCTGGTCTGCCATGGGAGTTCTGCTAGTTGTCTGCTAATTGAAATCACTCTAGGTGTTTGGCCACAATCAATTTAATTATTCTTTTAGTCATTGGCTGAGTTACTGTTTCTTGTTTATTTCTAAATGTTTGATCACTTTGAAATTATTTTAAGTGTGTATATTATTATGTGTTAATTATTCTTATTTTGCCAAATAATCACAAACTCATTACAGGGACATTGTATGTTTGAGAAGATCAAACAAACTATTTAAATATTTACAAGCTCAAATACTAATCCAAAGATCTGTAGAGAAAGAGTAAGAGAGGTTAAACGTGCCCCACACACCACCTACTGACTGCCTGAGCACGACACAAGAGGAGAGGGAGAGACTCCGGGTATTGTAATAATTTTATTTGTAACGATACATTTCTCTACTGTCTCAGACACTTTATCTTTGTGTCCCAGGTGCTATTTTTATTGTCCCCAGGACAACAGGACAGCCTTGATTTTGAGCACTGAGATTGCTTTACACTGAGGTAGAGTGCTGAGAAAAATATGATTTACTGTCATACGGGATGCACAATACACCACCAAAAGAAAACATTTCATTGGTTACCTGCTGTCTGTGTCCACTGAAGTAAACGTTTTATTAGAATATACTACTGCTGGAGTTGTTGAACAGATGATCGGCTAGTTAACTTGTTAACAGCATGTATTTATAGATGGTTACCCTGAGAAAGACTCTCATGGGAACAACTTGAACTTTATCCAAGTGGGTGGACATGTGTAGGAAGAGTATAGTTTAAAAGTAATCCAAAAAACAGTATTTATATGACAATAAATTTCTTTCTAATGGTTATGAAAGGTTCAATCTAAAGAGCCACTTTATTCTGACGTTAACAGAAATCTGACTGAGCTCTAATTCTGATTTTTATTAGAATAAACATAAGTGCAACTACTGTCAAAGGCTGCACCCACATTACTTTCACCCAAATTTGTTGTTAAAGTTATTAAAGTCATCTGTTACAGCTTTTTATCCATCATGTTAAATGAAAAGTGGTAATCTTCACATGAAACTGTTTCAGACACAAATGAGAGACAGATTACCCCATTAATTAATGTGACCCAGCACAGGGAGTGAAGCATTATGTAGAGTGGTACTTAGAGATGTTAAAAGCTCATCAGCTCTTTTGTATGGTTTCAGTGTCGTGTTTGGGAAGAGGGGCTGACGGCAAAAACTATTACTTAAAAAACACTCATCATCGTGTCAATTAAAAAAAATCAAATTAAATCTCTGAAAAAAACCCCAAAAAC